AATAAGTCAAAGTTGTCGTTAAATATGTATATGATGCATTCGGTTATAACGTTTCGTTCGCCTGTTTCCCGTATCTTTCCTTCAGTCCTATCTCTAAAGCATACTTTAGGTTATAGTCTTGAACTTTCTATTCGTAGATGTAAAAAAATTATAAAGTTTTTTGTATGCTTGTATTTTGACTCGCCCTACGGGCTCGTCAAAATACGGCACAACTCGTAAAATACTCAGCGATACTACACAACAAAACGTCTAATAAGATACTATAAATGTCATAACTGAGAAAAGATTGGCTTTTTTCATGGACACCGATAGATTTCACTGAGTCGTGAATCGTGACAAAAATTCTTGTCGCAACGAGTGAAAGGGAACTGGAAGTTAGATCGTAACATCAGGGATGGTAGATTTGTGTTCTGGTAGAGTTCGTCACATGTAATTACCAAAAGTCTACACGTAGTTCTTCTCGTCAGATGAAATTACTGGAATATTAGTCGTGGTAAGAGTTACAAATACACCTTGTTCTTTAACATTTCGTTAAGCGCACGCATCAAAGACAAGCGCAAACCTCGTTCTTATGGCTGTAAAGTTAAAAAGCCTGCCACAAGCACGCCCTAAAGAAAAGGGGCGTACATATGTAATATATCTTCTTCTAACTTGTACACATGTAATATATCTCCTTCTAACTAATTCTTTTTGAACGAAGACAACTAGTAAGAACATTCCTTAAATTATACTTAAGTGTCAAAGATTATGCCTTGAAAGCATAACTATTGTACAAAGCTTTTAATCCCTATTATTATATTTCCTCTACTCAAGTTTTCCTAACAATTTTTTAATGAAATGGAAACGAACGAAACCGAAGAGGTAACATGACCTTGGAAATTGGTCGAAGTAAATTGAGAAAAGTGTGAAATTCCTTCAATGAAACAACAACAACCCTAGCCCACGGATAACATATTCCACCTAGCATTATGATTGGAAATGAAGATTCCTGCCTATCATTCATTGCTTTGTAAACAGATTCAAGTTTGACAAGTTCATATATGAACTTTGTAATGGACCTTGCTCACCATAGAGTCCCGGCCTGTAGCTTAGTGGTAAGGCGTCGGAGCGCGGGATCTGAAGGTCTGAGGTCCGATTCCTTGTGGAGACTTGTCCCACGCTCGTGTCAAGACGAAAAAAATCTCTTTAAATTGAAAAGTGTTGGAAATACTCGAAAATTATTCCAACTGCTATGGGCTTTTTCAATGTACGTGTGCAGTTTGGCATGAAACCGAAAATGAACCTTGACCTTGTTAATAGGTTCCGTTAACTGAATTTAACTGATATTAGAAGCTTAGCGCGTAACCGGCGAAAAGGTAATTAGACCTGAAAGTTGGGGAAGTGTTGAATTCTTCAATACAGTTAAAAAAAACAAAATACAACTTCCCTTACGCCTTATTCCCAGGGCAGGGTGGCTCAGCATTTTAAAAAAGAAAAAAACAATCCCACCTAATTATTTCTTATTCAGTGAACAATTCAGAAGACTGAAATGGAAATGCTGGAAAATTATGCCGAACCTTTATACCTTTTCTATTTTAGTACAACATAAAGTTATATACGAAATCGAAAATTGACCTTTACCAATTGTCTACAGTCTAAGAAACTTGGACTCCATTTAGAATATGTTTCCTCCTTCTCAACATACCAGGACAAGAAAGTAGCAAAGTCCATGGACAAAAAGTAGCATCTTACTTTCAGACGCAATGAACTGTGAAACCATAAACCTAAATTGGAATGATGATAACAACAACAACTTCGCAACGATAATTAGAAAGATATGACGAATTAATAATTATGATGTTCATGGTGGCAAAACTTATGCCAAAATCTTTTGTTACTTTAGAAGTTTAATCAACTAAGATTTATTTGCGTGAAGAACACATAAGTTCGAAACTAGTCATTTATTTATTATTATTATCATTAATTAATGAAAGTTACTAATGATACTTGCTTATGCAGTAATAAGTTGACCTTAAATCTGACAAAAACTAAACATCTTATTTTTATACCCTGTCAAAAGGAAAATTACAATTTGTACCCATCATTTAGTGTAGTGAATGTTCCTTTAAAGAAGTCTTCTTGCATCAAATATCTTGGTGTGTGTATTGATTGTCACCTTAGTAAGCCTGACCATATTGACTGCATATGTGGCAAAATTAGCAAAAACATAAATATAATGGTTGAGTTAAAACATTATGCCTCAGAAGCAACACTGACCGGTTATTAGTTTGTATTATTCTCTTATGTATCCTTACCTTACTTATGCTTGTACATTATGGGGAAATAATTATAATGCTCCCTTCTCTCAAATTGTAAAATTACAAAACAAAGCAGTCAATATCATATATGATGTTCCTTTAATGGAATCAATAACTCTACACTACTTATTCCCAAGCCTTTTGAAATTTCCTGATATTGTTAAACTGAGCACGTTTCCTTTCTTATGATTTTTTCTATGATGAAAAGTTTTCTAATATACCTGTTTCACTAGTATCTGAGCTACATGACAATAATACTTGCAGTGCATCATTTGAACTAATCTCAGGAGATTGTGCCTGAGCATTATGGGAAGATTATTTTGGAATAGTATTCTGCGATTAATAATTAAGACAAACCACCTAAAAAGATGTTTAGAAAAGCACTTTTACGCTGGTATCTTACTCAATACTAATGAAACATCATCTCTTTGACAATTTACTGAGCTATTTTTATAAGTTGTCCTTTACTTTTTAAATTACAAGTTTCTTTTTTTTGTTATACTGGCATAATTTAAGGGGCACAATATTAGTTTATTTAGACATGCCTCTCCCCTCTCCATCCTATGTACAATGTAATTTAATTCAGTTGGTGTAATTTTGTAATGTATTAAGTTTTCTTTCCTTGAAAATTTTATCTTCTACTTTATTTTTCACCTTGTATGTATTTGTGCTAAGGTTTGGAGAAATAAATAAATAAATAAATAAATAAATAAATAAACTAATGAAAGAAAGGTAACTGTACACCGCAAATAGCATAGCTAATCTAGGCAGTGAAGAGTTAAGATAATACAACACAAAATAATAAATATGGAAAACACATACATCTATATATCTGCTAAAAAATTAACACATAAAGAGAGAACAAGATCATTACATAGAAAAGAAAGGAATTTAATAAGAACAATACTCAGAAAGGGATGCAAATATATATTATTTCTAATAAAAATATTAAGCTTCTAATTTAGGAATAATTTATAAGCAAGCTAAGATAAGGTGGTTTTTGAATGATTGCTTTGGTTTTGATTTCAAAGACTCTGGGATTTTGTTCCAGATTCTAGCTTTCAAGCCTTGAGAAGGATTGGTTCTGTTGTTTTGTTCACGAGTGAATAACATGAAATTTACCAGCAGCTGCACCTCTAGTGTCTTAAGAGTGAATCAAAGGTAGCCTAGTAAATAGGTTGTTCAGATTTAAAGGTACAAGATCATGGTCAGTATCATGCATCAAAACATCTACTGATTTATAATATAGCATATCAATAGGAAGAATATTTGATTGCCAAAATAATGAAATTGCATGCTCAGAATTGCCAGAGAAGTAAATTACTGTAGATCTCAAGCTCTCTTCTGAAGTATCAAGATGTTTTCAAAATTTGTTTTCAAGGTTTGGCCCCAGACCAAATGGCCACGAGAAAGATATGGATGGACAAGGGAATTATAAATATTGAGTAAGACAGAAGTTGATAAGATGCGTCTCAGTCTTGTGATAATACCTATGGTTTTACTTCTTTGAGTGCTACATTATCTACAATATCATTCCATGAGAGATTGCTGTCAGTCAAGACACCAAGAAATCTTACAGATTGTTTTCTTTTCATATTTCTTAAAAGCTTCATGTTCATTGTCAAACACTTTTAGATTTATATCCAATTTAACTTTCTGTCAAGATAAAGATGAAATATTAATTATATAGTTAAATTTTTTGGCATTTAGGGTTAATTTATTTGCCAGCAACCAGTTGTAGACATTGGTTAATTCTTCATTGACAACTGATTCTACTAATAGTAATTATTTATCTTAATACAAAAGATTGGTATCATCTGCAGAAAGGAAAAACTCAAAGTTACTTGAAGAAGCCGAGATATCATTTATATACAATAAGAATAATAGCTGACCAAGAACAGATCCTTGTGGTACACCACAAGCTATCGCTTCCTTCTTCGAGGTTTTGGTTTCAATTTGCATTGTTTGATATCTCCCCGTAAGATATGAGCAGAACAATTTCTTGATAACACCTTATATTTCTTGATGTAGTTTACAGAGCAAAAAATTATGGTCAACACTGTCAAAAGCTTTTTGTAAATCAATAAATATGCCACAAGAAAAAAATTTTTCATCCATGTTTTTGTATTTTGCTCACAATATCTAACTGTGCATGTTTTGTACAGCAATGTTTACAAAACCCATATCAGGATGGACTTAAAATTTTATGCTTGATAATAAAATTATTAATTCTATCATAAATCAAATTTTCAAAAATTCTGTTAATATTAGAGAGGAGAGAAAGACGTGTATAGATTCCAGGATCAAGTTCATTACCATGTTTATAAACAGGAACTATCTTAGCATGGTTTAACTTTAATGGGTAAATACCTTTTTGCTAGTGGGTTTGATAGAGTAGAGCTATTACATTTGAAGATTTTGACTGAAAATGAGTACAATTCATTATTGGCACTGACAAGATTTCCTGTTGCATTTCATTCGGTGTAACTGGATCAAAGAAAAACGAGGAGAAAGGCATTAAGCTTGGTAGATATTTGAGAAAATCTTGCTTAGATTGTGGCATTGCTGATGCTAACTTTGGTCCCACTAATGCGAAGTGTGGGTTTAGCACATTGGGTATACTAACGGGGTCTGTTAACACATTTCTGCTCTCAGGATCCCTGATAAAAGATATACATGTATTGCATTTAGAGTTACTCTTACTTTTATTTGTAAAGAAATTTATTCCTTGCCAAATTTGCCTTGCATCATCAAGATTATCTGTAAAGAAACGAGAGAGGTAAAGCTGTTTACTTATTCCAGTAAGTAATGATATTTTAATTCGATAAAATTTATATTTTTCAGTATCACCAGAAGAAAAGAACTGATTTTTTAGATATATAGACTTAAGAATGCCTTAAGTGATCCATGGTTTGAGCAGTTGTTGAGCTTTTTTCCTTGATGCAACCTAAGGGGTACATGTTTAATTATCACCCGATTTACTTTTGAGAAGAATGAGGAAAATAACTTATCAATATCATGAACATCATCAGTACAATCCCAAATAATCTGACTCAGATTGTCAAGAACCATATTCGGTGAAAAACTTGAAAAATTACGATATCTAGGAAAATTTGACATTTTTGTACCTTTCGCCAAGAAGCAAAAGGCAAATTGAGAGAAGTGATCACTTATATCTGATACTATTTTACCACCTGATACTTGACCATTAAATTGATTATCGAGGATGTTATCTATTAGAGTTGCTCAGCCACTACGTACTCTCGCTGGGTTATCAAGCACAGGAGTGAAGGCATAACTTTGCAGAGAAAGCAGAAAATTATCAGCAAATCTGCAGCTTTCAAAGAGCTACCTGAGACCAAATTTGGCGTTTGCCAGATTTTTCACCCTTTAGAATCCTTACTTGCTACTTACCACTCCCTCTGAATTTGGGAAGAAAATTCGTAATGGCAAAGCAGTCAATATCATATATGATGTTCCTTTAATGGAATCAATAACTCTACGCTACTTATTCCCAAGCCTTTTGAAATTTCCTGATATTGTTAAACTGAGCACGTTTCCTTTCTTATGATTTTTTCTATGTTGAAAAGTTTTCTAATATACCTGTTTCACTAGTATCTGAGCTACATGACAATAATACTTGCAGTGCATCATTTGAACTAATCTCAGGAGATTGTGCCTGAGCATTATGGGAAGATTATTTTGGAATAGTATTCTGCGATTAAT